AAATGTGTATTTGCTTTTTCTTAATGGATTTATTTTTTTTGGATGGAAAGTTATTCAATTCTTTTGAGGAAGTCAATTTGATAAGCACTAATATATTAAACAAACGTATTATTATTGGGTAATTTCATCACAGGTCATCAATCAAATTTATTCCCAAAATCGATCACTGTACTAAGCCAAAAATCAATCTGATTTAATTCTATTAATTTTGGCTATTAAATATTAACATAAAGCTATTTTTCACATGTTTGGGGTTCAGGAGTATTTTTGGCATTTTGTATTTTTTAATTCTTAATTTTTTTTTACAATTCTTCTCCCTATCTTCTTATACTTCGTAATTTGTATACAGTAGAACGTCAGTAAATTAATAATTTATAAATTAATAACTTCTAGTAATTAATAATTTTTTCCGGTCCCAACTAGGGACTAATACAAAAAGTAAAGAAAATCGATAAAAATAATAATATTTCAGAAAATCTCTTATTTATCTATAGGTCGTTACAATATCATAAATTAATAAACACCCTAAAATAAAAAAATAATAATAATAACTATAAATATTTAGTACAATATGAACTGTTGACACTTATTTTTTAACCCTGGAAGATGATATGAACTATGAAAGGATATTTTTTTTGTGTTAGTTGGAACCTGTAAATCTTTCCATCTTTTTTTCTGGTTTAAAAAAAAATATGAAAGGATATTTAGTATTCAGAAGAGTTTTAATACTTGATTAATTTGAGAAAAAGAAAACTACAAATTATGTAATCTAGTGGCAGTTCTTTTTTTCTCATATAAATTCTTTAAATTAATAATTTATTAATTTATCAATTATTTAATAATTTTCTAAATTAATAAAATTTGAAAGTCCCAAGACTATTAATTTATAGAAGTTGTACTATACGTTCATACTAGTATAATTAATAAATTTTAAGAATTGATTTACCTTTTCTATTTTAACTCTAGATAATAAATGTTTAAAAAAAAATTAGAAAAATGAAGAAGAAAAATTCGAGTTGAAATAACATGAAAATTAACAGTTTAACAATTTAAAAAATAAAAATTGGCTAAGACAAATTGTTTCTTCTAGGATATTTAATTATTTTCCACCCGAATTTAATTATTTGGTTATTAATTTTCATGTATACTTCAATTCGAATTTTTCTTCCTAATTTTTTTTAATTTCTTAAAAAATTTATAATCCAGAATTTCAAACAAAAAGTATTTTAATTTTTGAAATTTCGTAATTATAATAGTATCAACATATATAGGTTAGAAAGTATATAAACAATAATTATAAAAAATTATTAAAATTAATTTTTTAAAGAAAAAACAAAATAACAAAATTCTCCCTGGACCAAAAAATATGTGAAAAATAGCATTCCGTCATGATTTAATGCCAAAAATAACCAAGAAGAAACAGCTTGTCATAGCTGATTCTTTTAGTTTTTTTTTTTGTTTAAAATGGTAAACCATTAATTTTCATGTTTAATTCAACTTGAATTTTTCTTCTTCATTTTCTTATTTTTTTTTAAAAAAAGTTTATAATCTAGAAGTTAAAATACAAATAGTAAGTTAATTGTTAAAATTTAATAATTATACTAGTATATATCAATACATACAAGTTAGGAAATATAAGAAAAAGAATTGTAAAAACTCAAAATATTAAAAAAATTTTAAAAATAGAATGACGAAAATTCCCCTAAACCCAAAAGTATGTGAAAAATAGTTTTCCGTCTCTAATTAACGGTCAAAATTAATAGAATGACTTTGGATGGATTTTTAGCTTAGTACGGTGATTGATTCTGGGAATAAATTTGATTAATGACCTGCGATAAAATTACCCAATTATTTAATGACATGTTTTGTGTTTCACTCTAAATAAAGTTGTGTGCAGTGAGCATCTTTATCAAGTTGCTAGGAGGTCGAATTTTTTTCAAACACCATATTCTAAGTTTTGGTATCCTCGACCACGTCATCTAAAGTCGCCTGTATTAGGACAAATTGGGTTATATTAGGTCTCATGGTTTGCAATAAGGTGTCAAATGACAAAGAACGGGAAATGTAAGACTGAGTATGCAACAAACATTATATTTGTGATGGTAAATTCTTGAAATCACGACTTTGGAATAAAATTAATAATATGAAAAATATTATTTCGTAAATAAAATAGCGAGCGATTGGCATTTAGCTTAGATTGTTGTAAGGTCGAATATATCATCCGTGTTTTCTGAGCTTCTAGGTTCCTATTATTCATTTGGTGTAATATTTTTTTTTTCCTTTTAGGTTTCTGTTACTCATTTTGTGTAGTGTTTTTCTTTTCCTTTTGCAGCAAATTAGGTTACATTAGCGCGGATAACTTGCAATGATGTTTCTTTATTTTATAAAGTTTTTTTTTTACCTCACTACACTTATTTGAGCTCATATTTCTTTATTTTTCTTCCGGACGATGCTAATTGAAGATTTGAATGTACTCTCCACAGGTAATAAGATGACCCAGGTAGCATTTTCATTACTTCCATTATATATTAAATCTCCCCAAAAAATTCCTCATAAAATTTCGAACAAATAGTTCAATCAAGTTTGCATAAAGAAGTACTACTTCTCGTATTGATAATATAAATCTCCTAATCCAAGTTATATAATTTTCTTCGCATGTCTAAATATACAATGTTAGAAATCCAGATTTTTTACCATATTCACATGTCTTAACTATAACAATGCTAGGACAAATCGGTCCCACGGAATTGCTTGTTTCACCACCAAAGTTGAAGAGTTTCTTCTCCCGTTCATTCAGGTTCTCCTTGATAATAGTTTGTACAACTTTTGGCTTCAATTTCATCTCGAATTGTATTTCCATGCTAAGATCCTCCTTATGTGTGTTCATAGCTTGATAATATACAATTAATGTTATTTCCGACGAGAAATTAATAAGCATATGCTCATGTTATACTGCTTTAGTTTGATAAAAGTTGACGACTCATATTTGTGTGCGTAAAAAAAAATATATACTCAAACTAATAATTATAGAATATCGGATTCCTTTGACAAATAAAAGAGTCGAGTTTCTTGAATTAAAACGGTATAACAAATGACATTGTTTTCTAAGAACAGTAACTAAGTGCGCACCCAACAATAGACACAACTAAAAGTCCGTCCACATACAATCAAATGTATATGGTTGTGTGAACTTATTATACTGAAACAATCCACATGTTTATTTACATGGAGATCCGCCCTACCTAGCTAGATATCACTATAACTTATCCCATTCCCATGTATAGTAGATGCTTTCATAGGAAGGGGAATGGAGGGCTAAGGTTGCTAGAGTTCTAGCAAAGGATGATATGTTTTTTATTTTTTATTTTTTTTTTTAATTTTGGCCATAACACATTACCTATGCCCAATTCAAAATTTATGTATATCTCGCTCTATATATAGTAGTAGTAGTAGCAGTGGAGCCAGAAACCCAAAAAAACGTGTTACAAGGAAAAGCATTCCATTTATCAAACATCTGCCTTTGTTGCCTTTGGTGATAGTTTTGTAAGCTCATGAGTTTCCTCTTCTTTACTTAGTTTGTTAATAACTTGTTTTCTCTCGACGGGTGTGAAGGCCAAATTAGCTCAAAAACTCCCAACGTCCTCCCGGAGATCACAAGCGGACCTTGCATTAGAGTAGAGAATGTCAAACATATGTTATTATTCATGGAAATCACTCCAACACTTGGTACCCATGGAAAGGAGGGTTGTGGTGGAGAGGAGGAATGCGGTGGTGACGGAATAAACATGAAAAGCTCTTCTAACGTTTGGATCGATGATTGCTATCATTTTGTGAAGCGTCACGCTTAACAAAATGATAGCAATCATTGATCCAAACATTGGAAGAATTTTTGATGTTTATTGCGTCACCATTGCATTTCCTCTTCATCCCCGCCACGCTTCACAAAATGATAGCAATCATCGATCCAAACGTTGGAAGAAATTTTGATGTTTATTGCGTCACCATTGCATTTCCTCTTCATCCCTGCCACAACTGTTCTTTCCATGGCTAGTTAGTGTTGGAGTCGTTTGAACTAAACCGGGACGAGGGCTACCTCATTTGTGAAAAGGTGATCATTTTATGACCTCCAACTGTGTCGAGTGAAAACAAGTTATATTAGGAGACAAAGCAAGAGAAGGAAACTTATAAAATCTTAATCACGCGGATCCATAGTTTACTTACTGATTTGATTCTCTCTATTATTTTATCACATGTATAATTGTATCTCAAAATTCTAAACCGTAAACGATTTGTGGGCTAAATTTTTGTTTCAATTTTTTTTTTTTTTAAAAACATAAAGTTTACAATATGGTTTTCTAATTAAATAACATAAAGTTCACATCAATAAGACATTAGTGTTTTTTTTTGTTCATCAAAATAGCATTAATTTGGTACGAGTACTGAATTTTGAAGACTGAAAGCCACTCATTAGCATAATCAGAACACATCTTATCAAACCCCATACTCTTCGAATTCAAATTTCATAATTTACTTCATCATCATCATTTCACTTTCCACCTCAAAACTATATTTTCTATAGAACCTAATTCACTTTTAAGGTGTTATTACAGCATATTGGTCTCATTTGATGGCAATGTTCTTTAATTACTGGATATATAATTAAAAAAAGCTTTTTTTTTTTTTTTTTGGAGGTTATCTAATTGGTAGCTCGGCCTTTCTCATGACTTCATGAACAAAAAATTTCAAGCCTAGCTGGAGCTATTTTTGAGCTTCAACAATTCCTAGATTTATTCGAGGTAATTAAGCTTTGAAGCTCAGAAAAATCGCAAAGAAATTCTATGATTGTAGAGCGCGCCTTCCGTTTCGATGCAATTTTATTCATGAAGTAGGAAAAAACAACAAACTGAAATGCCAATGGAGATATTGTGTCAAATCCTAATATTCTAGAACTAATACATTATTAATATATTCTAAGTGAAAATAACACTATTACTCTCGGGTCACAAGGAGTCTCTAATATACTCCAGCAACATCATTGGGAGAGATTTTAATATCCAGTTCACTAGTACAACCAAACTTCCAGCAACACCCTTAATATTTATAGGGAAAATCTGCATATATACAAGAGAGATTTTGAGTTTTCATGTGTGTATTTTTCACCAAGCATTGGAAATTTCTGAGTTGATGTAACTTGCGAGTTACCTCTGACATTATCACCCATGGATTAGGTCCCATTCCGATTGAGTATGCTGATATATAAATCTGATCAAATGAGATTTTGACATTAGATTTTAATGATGCTTGCAAAACCTTTGTATCAATGAAAATATATTTATGGTTTTGAGATTCGAACCCGAATGCCGGCGACAGCAAACACTGGCGTCCACTTCTGGCACTGAATTTGAAACAGGCAAAGCACAGATCAAATCGACGCATCTGGCATGAAAATTAATGCATATTTGCTGTGAATGTGTGGATTTTTACCTCGAGGAAGAAAGAAGCACCAGCCAAGAAGCAACCTAGGAATGTTCCTGCTACCTGAAAACTTAACCATGGAAACAGATATTAGATTCTGACTCGACACACTTCGTTTTCCAAGTACCTTTGATAGAGATGGATGTTCAACTATCAACAGACCTGAATCCTCGCCAAGGGTACTGTTCCATTTTTACCCGAAGAAAGTCCTGCATTTTGGCACTAGGATATTACTCTCCAGTTGAGCATTTATTGTTTGTAAAGGTAAGTAATAATGAGCTTGAAATTCGACATTACCAGCAGCGACGAATGTTTCACATGCATAGGAAACCGATTCCATTTATTCCTAACAAAATTGGAAAAATTGTAGAACGTAGTATCTAACCCGATTCATGTTGCAAGGCCTCCAGGAATATCCCTCTGGAGCAATTTCAGCAATGAAATAGGGACCTGTTCAATGTGTCAATTAGGTGGAAACAGAATTAGATTCTGTCCTATTCCTATTCAATGAGTGAATTAGTAATGCTGTCAGGTTGATTTTTTTCTGGTGGTTCAGAGAATGACCAAAAGACTTACAACATTAGAAAGAATTCCGATCCCAAAGTCCTGTGAAAAACCTTCCAACATCTACAAGCAAAGCACCCTGATCCAGAAACTAGATGACATTAATTCAGTATAATTCTTGCACAAAAGCAACAGAAATGTGTACACTTAACAAGGTAAAGGTTGATGTTTTGCAGAGACATACCATAGAAAAATAGACTGCGAGCCATCCAGTAATGCAGAAGACAGATGGCATTCTCAATGTCTAATTAATTAAAAATTCACATGAAAAAAAAAATTATCTCATATGTTTTCTTCAGCTCATAACTACTATATTGTGTTTACCAAGTGCTAAATATGTTTTTTTCCATGAATTTAATACCCCTTTTTGGCCCATGAAAATCTGCAATTCTGCCGCTTGTGGTAGCTCCAATCACTGCAGCAGTTGTTACAATAGAACCCAACATGGAGTACTGCAGATTTGGCACTTCAGAATGAGATTCTAAGCTCCATTCATAATGAACTTAAGGATGGTAACTTTATACCTCTGCTATACTTAGCTTCAAATCTTCCCTTATCTCAGATTGATCAGATCAATTAAACACATTCTTTCAACTTTGAATATATATGTTAGATTAGATTAAGGCAGTAAACAGTAGTGTCTTGGCATCCTCGCCATCATCAGCGTCTTTACCACTTGAGCAAGTCAACTTGCCTTGTGATAAGGACCTTATCCCTGAGACATACCCTGGGATAAGGTCAGAAGCCATGTCCATCAGCCAGAGAGGCAAGCTATGTTACCTGGACTCGGATACGGGTGTCGTATCGGGTGCGGGGATCTAAATGTCCGACTCGTCAATATTTTAAAAATCTTGGACATTTTAGGCTAAAACACCATACCGGACACTCATACCCACACCATGTCGACACGACACGACACGGGTATTCTCCCCAAATAGAAGAGTCCGGGTAACAGAGGAGGCAAGACTTTCTCGAAACATGGCAATGTGAAACGAAGCAAAATTAGAGGGAAAAATGAAATCTCAGTCCCATAAATAACCATCATAGTTTGCGTTCAAAAAACACAAATGAATAAACAGCAATCTCGTCTGATAAAAAGTTAAATACATAGAGTCAGTACTATCTGACAAACATTGATCAGCTCCGTGTCTAGCTAGCTAAAGGATCTGCAATGTCACATGCGGAGGCATTATAATTCCCAAGAGTTGCTGCTCAGCACACCTTCTGGCTTCCTCTGTTATCCGAGCTTCTTGATTGAATGTGTCAAGATCGCAGAACCAATCTTCACCACCAAATGGAGGCCTTATTCCCAACCTGATCTGCTCATTCAACCTCGAGGACCGTTCCAGTAATGCATCTCTTCCATCGACTGTCCCAGATTCAAGAAGGAGCCAATCGTTACCACCAAATGAAGCCATTTTAAAACGTGGATCAACAATTATCTTCTCAAGGGAAATTGCGTTCTTAAGCAAGTATTGGACTAGTTCAAATTCAATTGAACGGCCGCGGTATTGAGATATCTCAACCACTCTAAGATGTTGAAGAGGGCAATCTACAACATTATCTGAACCTCTGCGGGTTATTATTTTCTGCGGGTATAATGTCTGCAGAAATAAAACACATTCACTTAGCGAGTACAAGTGTGATAAACCAGTTTACTTCAATATTGATACCAACAAAATTACAAGAAAGAGTGATAAAATCAATCATAAAAGAATAAACTAGACTGAATGGTCTTAAAACAGGAAAAAGGAAATGTAAAACATAAATGGACTACCTTTATTACAAACTTCTCCAGGTTTGGGGATGCCCTAAAAAATGTAGTAAGTCCGCACATGCTCTCATTGCCAGCTAAACAAAGCTCTATAGATAACTCCTTTAGTGCAGGTAAGTGAGGCAGAGACCCTTCAACCTGAGATGACAAAACAAAAATCATTAAAAGTACACTTCAGAGGTCACCATAAAGCAAAACTGGGCAAAGAAAATACTCCAAATAGTACCCATTGAGCAAGATGCATTTACCTGTCTCGCCTGGAGCCAATCCAAAAATAAGGAAAGACTGTTTAGCTTCGAAAAGAAGCATGAAAGCCTGGAAACATCCCTACTAAAACTGTAACAAGCAGAGAGGAAGCCAATATGGACAAGCCGGGGGACATTGTTAAGCATTAGGGCTCCTGGCCTCCCGATCTCGAGTGAGACGAGATTAACATCACTAATAATGAGGGTATCCAAGACACACCAGCTAATTCTCAAGTGTTTAAGGGCAAGAGATGGACCACAAACTTTTAAAGTTTTTAAAGCCACCCCACAGCCATGCACAACCAAACTCTCAAGAGATTTGCAGTTGCAAAAGGAATTCAAGATCTTTCGCGCAGATGGTTACATATTTAAAACTCAACTCTCTGAGAGCATTCCAACATGTCTTCCTCTTCCATGTGAAAATTTCTGGACGAAAAACATAAAACTTACCGGGGTCGATACAACTAGCCGGGCCGTGTCGCGACAGGTTCAGTTCTAGCCTTTGAATGCTCCTGTCCAAGGCAAACTGAACCCACGTATCCAATTCCTCCTGATAGGAATTGTTCAAATCAAAATAAATTCTGAACCTATTCAAAACCAAGGACTGATGGGACTGTAGCACCTTATTTACCCACTTTACAAATTTTGGTATTTTCCTTCTTATTCGTTCCATGTACACCTCCCCAGTCACCCTCCTCTGGCACAATGTAGTGAACCCGTTAAAATCGAGATCCGCAACCCAAGTCCACACACGTTTCCATCTTTTCGACAGAATACTTGTTCTGCAGGTTTCTTTGAGAGGTAGATACGCCAAAATACGACTAAGGATTTCATCTGGAAGTTGGCTAATCTGACCTTCATCTATTATATTATGCTGCTCAGCAGTTGTATACTGTTTGAAATGTGTTGCCTGAGGGAAAAACAAATTAAATTAAAATATGAGACTCTGAAAAAGGACTGAAAAAGGATGAATCATCAAACATACAGGACTACTGCAATAACAATGAGCAAGATGCGTAGTCACCTCACTTGGCTGCTTTGAGAAACCCTTATTTATCCAGCGATTTACAAACTTGGGTCTTCTTCCCCTGATTATTACTTGGTCCAAGATGAATATCAGACTTACAACTCCCATCAAGTGACGTTTATCCATCCTCTGAGGAAAGGGCATAACTAAGACTTATACATAATTCCCACCAAAAAAGAATTGCAGACGATTGGCTTTTTATTCACTATAAACCCCACCCGCAACTTCCGACAAACTGGCTTCTGTAACAAGTAACAACACTTCTAATTGTCATCAAACAAACCCAACCCTTCTTGGTCCACCAAAATAAAGGGGCCCAATTATTACATATAGAAAAGCCGACATCCAAAAATGAAAGCCCGAACCCTAATTATTTCCATACTCTTTTGTCGCGCATGGCTGCGGGATTGGTTTGGTCGGATGAATGCCCGTTTGACCGGGATGAGGTCGGGACGTTCGTCGGATATTCACTTGTTTTGGGACTGTACTATCTCGCGGCGAAGATGATTTGGCGCTGGCTGCCGCTCTCGCCAGCCTATGCTCTTGATCGCTTAATTGTCAGCCAGTATTCTCTCGAAATTCATAATGTGGAACTTGCTTTGGCTTTGGAATCTGTTTATTTGAATGTGCGTAATCCCAGGAAGGCGCGTCGCAAACCCAGGAAGCTCAACGTCATTGTTCGTGCTCCCGAAGGTGCTGCCAAGATTCCATCCTGGCGATCTTAAGCCCCTTCTGTAATGTTCTTTTGGGTAAGTTTTTTCTTTTTCCTTCTTTCGTCCCTAGTGGAATTCAGCTGTAGATGGGATGGATTAATTAGGGTTTGATTTCCGTTTCTGAATTTAATAATTGGGTAGTCACGGCCTCGTTTCTGATCCAGATTGAATTGGATGTGTTGGAATCGTATATTGGATTCAATTTAGTTTTTTCCGTGTTTCTTTCTTTGTTTATTGATTATAGTTTTGAAAATGTTTTTTTTAGATTAATGGCACAAATTGATTGTTGTCTTTTGTATTTCCTATGCATACTACAGACCCTCTGCCGCAGCAGTGATTGGGTTTTTTCATGCCGCTGAAGATAGATGCTCGGATAAGCGGATATTGCTGTTGGTTGGTACTTTCAGTATGGATGGTGTTTGGGATGTTACGTAAATTGGATCTTAGTTTATATACAGTATCTATTTCGCGCCGAGCTTAGTAATTGGAATGTTTTTCGGATGTAGAATGCCCTTTTAATAGTTTTACGTTTTGAGTAATCGCGTCTGCTTTGTTTGGATGTACAATAGTACTTGGAATACTTTTTTAGATGTAGAATGCTCTTTTAATAGTTTATCTTTTGAGTAATCGCATCTAGTACAATGGTCTTATAGCTCTTCGCATTATATTCGCATTCGGACCTTAAAATTATCCTTGTCTCCTCGGAGAAATGGAAGGCTACTCTCCATTGACATGGGAGTATTAATTCCAAAATAAAAAACAGAATCACTTGCATCTAACTTCAATGGTCTCAACTTCACAGTCAATACTCCAAATCCCATTAGCTCATCACTATATTGCAGGAACTCCACATAGACTCTTTTGAAAGTATGAGAACAATAGCATCATAGAGTAGAGTTTTCATAGTCTCAAAGATGTAGAAGAAATCACTCTTACTAGAAACCATCCTTTTACTCCAAAGCACATGAAGTTTCTTGGACTGAAAAGTTTTGATTTAAACTTCTTCAATATCCTTATCTAACCAATTGCCAAGGGAGATGTCTCTCTCGATAAAACTATTCCCAACGTCTCCGTTCATCACTACAATCAAGATGTCTGTGTTAATTCCAGGATCATTACACCCAAATATTCATATCCCCATTACGAGTTGAGGCGAATTCTATAGAAGCATTACACTCGACCATACATCTTGAATGAACATCGAAATCACCTTCGAATGCAATCCCACCTCAAAATCCAATGGCACTATCTCCCATGAAGTAAAGTCCCTTTCTACTTGAGTAGTTCTAACTTTCAATTGCCCAAGACCGAATTTCTCAGTACACAGATCTTCATCAAAATAATTCAGATTTTTCTTATTTTTGGCGTCCAAAATCACAGGATTGACCTTGTCTAGATGTGAGCTATCACCAGCCTTATCTTCTTTAACATTTAAAACCATGGAACCAACTCTCTTCAAATTATTAACCTCTTCGATACAGGACTCAATAGTTCCACTCATCAAAGTTTCATTAGAAGTATTCTATTTGGCTTAATCATCAACCATATACTCAGCTGAATCATTGCAGACACGCACAAAAGAAAGATCTCAATCAGCAGTTTGTTTTGAACACACAGAAGCAACATGTACCACCTCAATGATTTTCCCACCAATATGATTCATGTTTTCATATACCCAAAGTTTCCAAAAGAATCGCTAGTCAATATGCATGTTGTCATCAAAGTCTATATTTTTACCAATTAATTTCTCATCGTCACTACCAACTATTTCTAAAGCCACAGAATTATCATTCTTAATGCCAACGAATCAACATCGTAACCATGAGTAGGGCATCATTCCGCCAAACAAACAAAACATCATTATCAACTTGTACTGTTGCCTCTTCATTAGCATCAATTGTCAACTTATCATCATCAAGGTTATCAAATTCATATATATTCCAAGAAGGAAACGTAGTACCTCGTCCTCGATTTCCAAACTGCTTCGAGTTGCTGACTCAGTAATAAGGATCGGTAATGGTTGCGGAGTAATCAACATCGGCACCTTCTCCGGCTACGCACCTGGGAGCTTACTTTTTTGCCACCAGGGAAGAAACCAATTTGCTCTAAATGGGTGTATTGAGTGAAATGCAAACCTGATGGTAGTGTTGATAGGTTTAAAGCTCGTCTTGTTGCCAAAGGTTTTACTCAAGTTGAAGGAGAAGATTATTCTGAGATTTTCTCCACTGTAGCTAAGTCTGTGACTGTTCGCATACTGTTTGCTCTAGCAGCTAGTTATTCTTGGCCTTTGCATCAACTTGACGTAAATAACACCTTTCTTCACGGGTCTATTGATGAGGGGGTGTATATGGTACGTCCTCCGGTTTTAGTAAAGCTAGTAATGGTCAAGTTTGTTGACTAAAAAAGTCTCTTTATAGTCTTAAGCAAGCGTCTCGGCAATGGAATGATGAATTTACTTCCAAGTTACTTGATTGTAGGTTTAAGCAATCTGTTAATGATCATTGTCTCTTCACTTTTGTCACTCCTACTTGTCAGATGTTTCTTTTGGTTTACTTAGATGATGTTCTTCTCACTGGTTCTAATGAAGATCACATTCAGAGGAATAAAACCTTTTTAGATGATGCCTTTTCGATTAAAGATCTTGGTATGGCTAAGTACTTCCTAGATATGGAAATAGCTAGATCTTTTGCTGAAATATAAGTTTGTCAGCAGAAATATATCACTGCTATTCTCCGTGATACATAGATGCTTGATTGTAATCCCGTTGCTACACCTTTTCCTAAGGACTTTTGATTCTTGGCTAAGGATACCAGTCTTGTTTTTCCTGATGCAACTAAGTATAGACGTCTGATTGGCAGACTGTTGTATCTCAACTATACTAAGCCTAATCTTGCGTATGTTGTGCAACAATTTAGTCAATTTGTCCAAACTCCATTACAGTCTCATTGGCAATAGGGTTGACAATTCCTAACACGACTTGGATTTTCGACACGAACCCGAATCGAAATAAACGGGTTCAAGTTGGGATTTTGGACCCGTATAATAAACAGGTCGGGTTAGGGTTGACCTGTTTATTATACGGGTTGGGTTCGGGTCAACCTGTCGGGTTACCCGGGTCACCCGTTGTAACATTAGTTGCCCTAATTGTAAGACTATATATATCCTAGGTTCACTTTTAATATATTCTTCCATTCCTTTCTTCCTCACGGCGGCTGACCAAACACCAAAATTTACTTCTCTCCTCCACTCTTCTTCAGATCTAGGAGAATAAGGTGTTCTTCCCTTTGCTACACTCCCAAAATGCAGAGCCCATGAGGTGCATAGAAGGTGCAAATTTAGCAAGTTCCTTGCAGTCCCGAGATGCCAAAATCGTCAATTCGATTCTAATTAGTCATTCCATCTATTTTGCTATTGTTTTTTATTTCCTTTGTACTTGTTGGTTAATTTGTTTGAATTAGTCTGAAAATTATTTAGGTTTGGCCACTCGTGTGTCTTTAGAAAAATAGAATCGCGGTGGCAGTTTGTGTGTGCATCGGTGCCAGCGCAGATTGCCGAAGTGATGATAGAGGCGGCTGATTACAAGAAAAGTCTCCTAATCTTCTGCCTGGGAGATCAAATCCTTGCCCTGGTCTAGTAATTCCCTTAGCTATAAGATCTTCACATTCCTGCAACAATACATAACTCATTACTAATCTGCTACATGGTGGATCTTGGATTTAGTCCCTTGTTGGCTCTTGTCTTATTTTTTCTTGGATTGTAAATTTGTAAGTTGGCAATTGGAAATTAGTTCTGTTTGAGCATTTACGGATGATGAATGGATCTATTATTATTATTATCACAGTTGTTTAAGACTTAGGTTCTTTACTCTTCGTTTCTGTTTTGCAATTTTTCTAAATCAATTTTTTTTCTTTACGGGTTAAACAGGTCGATCCGGGTCGACCTGGTTTATAAAAGGTAGGGTTAGGGTTGCGAATATTGACCTGTATAATTAAACAGGTCGGGTTCGAGTTAACTAGAACACGACACGAATTGCCAGCCTTGATTGGCAGGCTGCTGTCCATGTGCTAAGATACCTTGCTGGTTCTGTTTCTAAAGGTTTGTTTTATTCTAGTGGCACTTCCCTTCAACCTCAAGCTTATAGTGACGCTGACTGGGGAAGTTGTCAGTTCACCAGGAGGTCGTTAACAGGATATTGCATCTTTCTTGGTGCTTGTTTGGTCTCCTAGAAGACTAAAAAGAAAATACTGTCTCCTGTTCTTCAGCTAAAGCTGAATACAGGGGTATGGCTATTACAGCTCGGGAGCTTCAACAGGTAAGCTATATTCTTTCTGATCTTCAAGTATCTGTGACTTTACCCATTGTTTTCTGGTGTGACAAGAGCAGCATTTCATATTTCGGCAAATATTGTCTTCCACGAGAGAACCAAGCACATTGACATCGATTGTCACGTTGTCCGGGATCTCTACAAATAGGGTTTCCTCAACTTGAACCACATCAGCTCTTCTAATCAGCTTGCAGATTTGTTAACAAAGTCACTTCCAGCTCCCACTTTTGATGTTCTTCTTGGCAAGATGGGTCTGTTCCATGCTCATCTTGAGAAGGGGGTGTTGAGTAATCAAATGAAGTCAGCACTTGATGAAAATCAAGCCTCTCAAGTGTTAGATTTTCGAATACACAGTTGAACTGTATAGCTTTTTTTTTTTTTTTTTGTATAGTTATACTTTAGTACAGTTTTATCATTTTATTTAGTAGAGGGTCTTTTATGTAAATATCAAGAAGTTTAGGTAGTTTGACTTAGTCAGAATAAGTCAAGTATATAAGCTGCTGTACAAACGTTTTACTTATGAGATTACGATTGACGAAATACAGAAAATATTCTTCCCCAATTTCTCAGAGAACCCTAATTTTCCTTTTTCAAGATGGGCACGTTCGTCCAAGTTTCGGTTGTTTTGGGACTGTCCTTCTCGCGTCCAAGATGATTTTGGCGCTGGCTGCCGCTGTCGACAGCCGATGCGATTGATCGGCTAATTGCCAGACAGTATGCTTTGATTGTGAAATCTGCTTATTTGAATGTGCATAATCCGAGGAAGGCGCGTCGTAATCCCATGAAGCTCAACGTCATTGTTTTCGCTCCCGAAGGTGCTGCCAAGGATTCGATCCTGGCGGTCTTAAGCCCCTTCTCTAATGTTCTTTTGGGTAAGTATTTTTTTTCCCCCCTTCTTTCGTCCCTAGTCAAGTGTTCTTTCTTTGTTTATTGAGTGTGTTGGAATCGTATCTTGGATTCGGTTTTAGGTTTTCCATGTTCTTTGTTTGTTTGTTGGTTATAGTTTTGCAAATGTTTTTTTTAGATTAATGGCAAAATTTGATTGTTGTCTTTGGATTTTCCTCTGCATACTTCTACAGATCCTCTGCCGCAGCAGTGATTGGGTTTCTTCATGCTGCTGGAGATAGATGCAGGGATATGCTGATATTGTTGGCTGTTATTTTTAGTATTGATGGTTTTTGGGATGTTACGTAAATTGGATCTTATACTGTATATATTTCGCGCTGAACTTTGTTAGAATGTTTTTGGGATGTAGAATGCTCTTTTAATAGTTTTTGTTTCGAGTAATCGCGTCTAGTACAATGGTCTTATACGTCTTCGCATTTTATTCTCATTTGGACAAGTGTTTTCCTGACATGAAAACGCTGACGGGGATGATGTATTGGTTCTGTGATAAAATTACATGTATAATTATTTTTTCTAGTGCGATTGTAATAGATGTGGGTACATGTATAATTATTTTTTCTAGTGCGATTGTAATAGATGTGGGTATATCCATACCTGGTAGGGTTTTCGACGTTGCTGCGAGTGTTATCCAAAAAAATGCAATGGTGTAATATCTTTTGATTAAGGATCAGTTGTCGTGCTTATACTCTTTCAGAATTCTTTTTTCTTTTCCAATATTACACAAACAAAGAAATTTAATAATTAAAAAATAATTATTTTCCTTGGTAAAACAGACATAGTAATTTAAAAACAACGAATTACATTACTTTTCAGTCAGAATCTCCAGCAACTAAACAAGCCCTTAAAACATTCTTGAAAAGTCGATGAAAATTTTGATCATATTCTTCGTCTGTCTGTTTTGAACTTATTTTTCATTGTTGCGTAATATTTGTATTCTTTATATTACCCTTTTGTCTTAGGATTCTATTAAATAATCAACAATTAATCTGATATGTAATGTTATTTTTACATCTTATTATAAACTCAATACTTTACTTTAACATATACGATATTTTGTTTGATTTGATATTGATACTCGCTATGGAATTAACGCCAGCATTTGGGGATATTGTCAGGTAAAAATTTTACTCATACGAGGTTGAAACACAAACTGAATTAGATTGAAATTTAGCTTTGCATTCCTTTTTTGTTCCATCGGTGAGCAAATATCTTCCTAAAATACTGTCCTCTGTATGATCATTGTTCTTGGTAATACAAGTTGGAATAAATGTCATTAAATCGGGGAATTTTAATCTAATTAGTTAAATGCAATCTTCTATACTTCAGTTACAACACTCGCACCTACTAAGCACATTCAAGCAAGCATATTAATGTAGAAAAACATTCACGAATACAAGCATTAATTCTCGCGTTGAAATAGTTTGATACAAGCTAGAGAGATCAAACCAACAAAAATGATCTCCCCAATTTTTCTAATTTTTGCATTCTTCTCTTTACCTTTCCCATCTTCTTCTCAACAACAACAGTTGCTTGATTCTCTTCATGGACCCCTTACCAATTTTGAGTCATGTATTTCTACTGAATCTCAAGCAAGAGTTGAAAACATAACCTATAATTTTTGGTCACCACAATATTTCCCGATCCTTGAACAAAGTATAAGGAACCTAAGGTTTAATTCCTCCAAAACTCCAAAGCCCTTTTACATAATCACTCCAGAAAATGGCCACCACGTAAGAGGAGCAATCTTGTGCTGCAAGAAATATAACCTCGAAATGCGAATCCGTGGCGCTGGACATGATTACGAAGGTCTCTCCTCCGTGTCCCCTAGACCATTTATCATTCTAGACATGTCGTGTTTGCGAAAAATCGACATAGATATCGAAAGCAAGACTGCGAGGATAGGCGCGGGCGTGACGCTAGGGCAACTCTACTACCATATTTCGCAAAAAAGCCCTAAACTCGCTTTTCCTTCGGGCGTTTGTCCGACAGTTGGCGTCACGGGCCTCTTTAGCGGAGGCGGACACGGTATGTTAGTGAGAAAATTCGGGCTAGCCTTAGACAATGTTATTGATGCAACAATTGTCGATGCCGAAGGTAGAATCCTCGATCGAAAATCCATGGGGGATGATCTTTTTTGGGCGATTCGAGGTGGGGGGGCAGCGAGTTTCGGGGTTATACTCGACTGGAAGATCCAACTGGTGGATATTCCGGCCATCGTAACAGCGTTCGACGTGGTAAGGACTCCCGAAGAAGGGGCTACGAGGGCGGTATCTAAATGGCAAGAGTTGGCCAATGTGTTGCCTAAGGAGATCGTGATAAGAGCTTTGATAACAAGTAAAACGACATCATCAGGGGAGCAAACCATCAACGTAGCATTCGAAGGATTATACCTAGGAAGAGCCAAGAAACTCATGAAATTAATGGAAACCCACTTCCCCGAATTAAAGTTGAAAAGGAAAGAATGCAAAGAAATGAGTTGGGTAAACACAACTTTATTCTTCAATCTTCACGAGGGGCAGAAATTCAGCCTTAATGATTTGCTAAACACGAAACATTACAGAAGGTCATTTTACAAAGCGAAATCGGATTATGTAACGCTACCAATTAGAGAAGATATGCTAGAAGCAATATTTGATGTTGTCAAACAAGGTGGAACTAATTCCGGGGTCATGCAATTTCAGCCGTACGGCGGAAGGGTTTCCGAGATCCCGGCCGACGCGACGCCATTTCCGCATAGAGACGGGACATTATACAATATACATTACATTGTCGGGTGGCACGACGAGAGTGATGATCGAGTTATCGACCAGAGATTGGATTGGCTTTACAAGATTTACGATTTTATGGCAGATTATGTCGAAAAGCCTAGGACTGCGTATCAAAATTACAGGGATTTGGATTTGGGAAAGAATGAATATGCTGATGAAAAGTACTCGGAGGCGTGGAGTACTTGGGGAAGAATGTATTTCAAAGATAATTTCAAGAGATTGGCACAAATAAAGCATCGGGTTGATCCAGACAACTTCTTTAGGCATGAACAAAGTATTCCTCCCTTACCCTAAAGAGGGTTTATAATAATTGGGTAGTTTCAAATTTAGTTTTCCATTCGGCTTCGTTGTGTTTTTTATATTCACCTTTTAATTCCCCTTTTTTCTCTAATTTGTTTTCTCCTATTGCTGAACTAGAACATGAATACGCTATTAAGTAAGTTCACATTTTTATTAATTTGCATATTCCTTTTTGGAAAATCAGTTGTTTGCATTTTTATTTAATTTTTTTCATATAGATTTCCTAATGTTTATTGTTAATACTTTACACGAGTGCTTCCTGATCCATTTGCTCCATTCTACGCGGGATTTATCTGAAATTTCTATATTGATTCGTTCCCCATCATAATTTAACCTGAAATCAAAATTCTTTAACTTAGTGGATAAAAATGGGAATCTTATGACAGAGAAAAGAAAAGCTGAAAATACCGCAATGATTGCTCAGTTTGATACATGATACATCTATAATAAAAACGTTCGAAATCTTTTTAGAACTTTTAAAAAATTGTAAACATATGACTAGCACAAAAATATTACTGTCAAAATGAATGTCAATCGTGTTGTCTGCAAAATGAGCGTTAATTAATCGTATATCACTATATCGTGTTTGGTACAAAGGAACACATGAGATCCCGCACCTTAAGAATACTCCGGTTCACTTAATCAGTACTACTATATATAGTGGAGTACTACTATATATAATACATCTCCAACCTGAGTTTCTAATAATTAATTATTTGCCTTATGCACGAGTTTAAACCAAAATTTGAATCTGGAACACTAATTATACATATTACATAGTAATCCCTCCGTCTCAGAAAAATAATCTTCTTTGAATTTTGAGATTTGTACTAAAAACAGTACAAATTTCAAAACTTAATATGGACTAGTTTTTTAGGACGGAGGTAATACTACATACTGCGTATTCTGTTCATTCTGAAATATATACAACTTTGATTTTTATTTTTATTCCAATTTGTATTAATGTAGAAAATTAAATCTGAACAACTAATTTTTTGTAAGGAAGAGAATGCGTCTACAGTTGAATTATGTTAATTAACCTGAGAATTCCGTCTCGAATGTGAATTCAAAAAAGCAATGTCAACGTCCAAAGATAACGTGGAGCCTCTCATTTCCATAAAGCTATTTCTTCTTGATTGTGAAAACTGGACCTCCACGAATCATAAACAAATAGATTCTTCAATGATTCATTCAAAAACACCAGCCATATAATAATAATCCCATCTTGACCAATTACCAATCGGCCATTTATTTGACTCCATTCCCAATCCCAAGTTAAACAACATTTCGATCAAGAATGATGAAGAATCCATCGTTTTTTTCTTGGGGTTTATCCTGCCTCCTTCTAGTCTTGTTATCGGACTCGATCAAAGCCACCTACGGTGGTGGTGCACCAGTGTTCGATACCGACGGAGACCAACTCCGGCGTGGCCAATCTTACTATATAGTATCGGCCGGTTGGTCGAGATTGAGAGCCGGCGGACTAAAGCCATATACCGGCCGGGGCTCCACTTGCCCGTTTCAGATCGTGCAAGCATTCAACCTCCGCAGCGACGGCGTGCCGGTGGCTTTCTCGCCGGTTGACCCACAGGATCTGTTAGTCCAATCGGATTCAGATCAGAACATCGTCTTCGAAGATTTCCCGTCTGCGGTTCGTTGCTCTGAATCGAACGTGTGGAAGGTCGATTTCGGCCAATCGCAGTCGTCTCCGGCGGCGAATTCGACGGCGCCGGTCCTCGTGACCACCGGCGGCGTTGAGGGAAATCCCGGACCGAATACCTTACCAAATTGGTTCAAAATCCAGGAGTATGAAGATGCCTATATAATTCAGTACTGCCCCAGCGCCTCCTTGTGCGGTGCTACTCCTTGCCGGGATTCGCTCGTTTGTGAAAATATCGGTGTTTCTGTGGTGAACGGCAAGAGGGTTTTGTCACTTAGCCGGCAGCCATTGAAGGTTGCCTTCAAGAGGGTTAAGAGATGTGCTACTTTGGTGGCCACCAATTGAGTTCATCTTCCACAAAGCTTTAGCTTCAAATCTTGTACATACATCAATGGCTGATGGGTCCTATAGTTAGTATAATCTGCAATATACCTTGTATGAAATTTTCTAGAATTGTGTTATTAATTATATTGTTGCTTGCTACTAATCATATGTACAGAAATAGATGCATATATATACGTTGTAATATATCTTCTTTCTGAAAAATTACTCTGTTTTTTATTTTTAATCAATGATTTACATGATGTTGATATGGATTATGGAGGACATTGAGATGAAATTTGATAAATGAATTCAATGGAATTCAGAAGTTACAAAAGAAATATGGAAATTGGCTGATTGAATAATGAATTTGGAAGTTGAAAAGCTGTAGAATCTGTGGATTTAAGATTTTGATCAAAATGGTGGAATGCTCTGTTCATCCATGAAGAAGTTTTGGGGATCAATCTTCCTCTTTACCAGTGCCAATCTCATGTAATTTTTGCCAAAATACTTGCTTCCCCATTCTTCAGCTTCCGAATAAGTTGTTGTACCATCCATCTTATTAACGCCGAAATCAAGATCTCTGTAATTCAAATAAGCACTTCTTGGCTCTTTGGACACAAAAGGAGTCATATTTCGGAATAATCTCCGAATCCAATTTATGTGATCATCCGATTCTTCAACATCATCCCATTGCACCAAATATTGAATGTTGTACAGGATACCTTTTCTATGAGGGAATGGAAGACTTTCTGCAGGTATCTCATCCATTATTCCGCCGTAAGGTTCGAAGATAATTATAGGACTCTGTTCCTCCAGACACCATTTCCAGAACATTTCCAGCGCAGTCTTTGATAATGGTTCCTTTACATAATCTGATGTTGCTTTGAAAAATCTTCTTGGATCCGGTACCTTGTTTTTCAGTTGATCCATATCTTCCATGTTTCGATTGGCGAAAAACAGGATGGACTTAATCCAACTTGTCTCGACACAATCTTCTCTTTTCAAACCAAGTTCAGGGAAATTCTGGTTCATTATGGCAAGAAGCTGACCAATATTACCCAAGAATGAGGTTTCGAACTTGATTCGAATAGTTCTTTTATTCCCTTCTCCAACTGCTTCAATAACCAACCTCATGAATAAGTCTTTACTGAATTCACTCCCAACTTTCTGCCATTTTTCTACAAGATCAGTCCCTCCTTGCTCCAGAGTCCTGGCTACTCTGAAAACCGTGACAATGGATGGAACTTCAGAAAGCTTGATCTTCCACGAAAGAATGACGCCGAAACTCGATCCTCCACCGCCTCTTATAGCCCAAAACAAATCTTCCCCCATGGATTTTCGATCCAGAATTCGCCCGTCCGCATCAACTATGACAGCATCCAGGACATTATCCGCAGAAAGGCCGTATCTTCGTGAAATCGTACCATAGCCGCCTCCACTTAGGTGTCCACCAACGCCAACAGTGTTACAGATCCCTGCTGAAAAGGCAAGATTTGCACTTTTCTGGACGATCCAGTAATACAGTTCGCCGATCGTGGCTCCAGATTGAACCCATACGGTGTTTTCTTCTTCAAGATTGACATCAACTGAATTCAGATTTTGAAGGTCAAGCAGGATGAAAGGGACTTTTGATGTGTAGGATTGGCCTTCGTAATCATGACCGCCACTTCGGGTTCGAATCTGGACTCCGTGTTTCTTGCAACATTTCACTGTGGCCTGAACTTGATCATATGTTGAAGGTCTTACTATAGCTACTGGTTTTGGGGTTGTGGAGGTGAGAAATCTCTTGTTTTGAACCGTGGAATCCAACAAAGATGAATACGAGGAATCCGAGGTTGAAGGAACATGAAGAACATCCGATGAGGATGATCCAAATTCATGCGAAAGGCATTGCAAGAGATTGCTAATATCGGGTTCAGATTTTGAAGCTGACAATAGTAGGTCAATGAGATCCGAAAGGAAGCAGCAAATTGAAGTATGCATTTTTGACGGGTCTTAAACGATTTTTTTCTTTGTGATGAGTTTCTTTCTTTTTTAACAATTTAAATAAAACAATCTAGTGGACAAGTATTTGAATTCGGTGAATTATTGAGATCAATTGCCGACCACCGTCTCCATCAGCTACTAAAAGGGGAAAGAGAAATGTCATCTTCAGTGTTTTTTTTTTTTTCAAAAAAACAATAGACCTCTTTTCTCACAACGTAAATCCATTTTAAATGGAACAAGAATTTAAAGACTTGGCCTATGTATAGACAATGTTTTCATTTTCGTATTCGTTTTTAATTGAAATGTAAAAAAGTGTTGAGAAAATTTTTGGGAAGCTAACTAGATAATTCTTGAATAAATATTATTTTATCCATCACCAAGGTAGAATTCAGCAGGTGACAGTCTCATGGTGGTGGATGGTCGTCTAGCGCAGTTGAATGACTTACAATTTGGATGATATATTAATTTAGTTGGTGGATTTATATTATGAAAAGAATGTAATAATTAATTTTTTTATTTAGAACTGAGTGCCCTAAAATTACAGATATGTTTCTTTTTTATTTGAGTGAACCTCAAAACGGGTCATTGAACTATTAGGTAATTCTAATACAGGTCATCAATCAAATTTATTTGTATACCAGGTCACCCTACTAAGCAAAAAATTCATCCAAGATCATTCTGTTAATTTTGACTGTTAAATAGTGACGGAAATCTATTTTTCACATGCTTTTGGGTTCAAGGGTATTTTTATCATTTTATTATTTTTAAATTTTTAATCTTTTTAATTTTTTTTATTTTTTAGAATTATTATTCTTATACTTCCTAACTTGTATATACTGGTAGTATAATTTCTAAATTTTAAAAAAAATTAATTTAACTTTTGTATTTTAACTTCAAGATTATAAAATTTTAAAAACAATTTAAGAAATGAAGAAGAAAAATACGAGTTAAAGTAAACATAAAAATTAATAGTTTACCATTTTTAACTAAAAGAAAAACTAAAAAAAAATTAGCTAAGATAAGTCGTTTCTTGGTTATTTAATTTTTTCAACTCGATTGAATTATTTAATTATTAATTTTCATGTTAACTTCAACTCAATTTAATTTTTCATTTGTATCTTAAAAACTAGATTATAAAAAAAAGGAATAAGGAAAAATATATAAAATTCAAATTGAAGTTAACATGAAAATTAATAATTATATAATTCACTCGAGTTGAATAAAATTAAATAACCTAGAAGAAACAACTTGTCCTAGCTAATTCTTTTAGTTTGAAATCGTAAACTATTAATTTTCATCTTTATTTTAACTCGAATTTTTCTTCCTCATTTTTTAATTTTTTTTTAAAATTTTATAATCTAGAAGTTAAAATAGAAAAGGTATATTAGTTTTTGAAATTTAGAAATTATAGTACTACTCTACTAGTATATACAAGTTAGGAAATTTAAGAAAAAGAATTTTTAAAAAAAGTTTAAAATATTAAAAATGAAAAAATAATCAAATGACAAAAATACCCCTGAACCCAAAAGCATGTGAAAAGTAGATTTCCGTCACTATTTAACAGCCAAAATTAACATAATGATCTCGGATGAACTTTTACTTAGTATGGTGACTTGTTATACAAATAAATTTGATTGATGACCTGTATTAGAGTTACCTAATAGTTTAATGACCCGTTTTGAGGTTCACTATTTTTATTTTTATTTTGTAATTACGAAGGGAATATTTTATTGCAGTTAGCAAAGATTTCAATGGACAGTTTGAAATTCTGAAATTCAGACTACAAGTTGTAGTACTAGTATTAAATAGATATATGATAGGAACCAGCAAGGGTGCCATTTTGGGGGATCTTAATCACATGCAAGGTAATTAATTAAATGACACAGTTGAGTTGTAAGGTCCTAAAGCTGTCGGTTTGGAATTTCTCATGGTTAGCTGCCAACTTTCTAATCTTTTGTTGGCGTTTAACGAATAATAAAAAAGAACTTACATGGTTTGCCAACCATACACAATGAGGTGTTTAATGTCAATCGTTCAGCATTCAGAAATTAAGAGATCATGGTAGGTAGCTAATTATATCTTTTCTCGTTCCAAATTAATTATCTTATTTGTAGGATTATGTACTAATAATTAAAAAGGAACAATGAAAAATAATAAAGTACTCATTCTGTCTTATAATTATTGTTTAGTTTGGATTTTTAAATATAGTACAAATTGAACTAAAATTAAAAATCTAAACTGAACAATAATTTTGAGACGGAAGGAGTAAAATGATATGAAATGGTTCTGTGTAATTTTGGAAGTCTATTTTCAGGATAAGATGAAAGCATATGGTTCTTCGTCAGAGCCACCTTCAATGAACAATCTGTAATATCGAATGCACCGGAACAACATATTTCTCGTGAACAAGGTCCTTGTCATGTTGATGAAAGATCTTTTGTCAATTTGCAAAGGTTAAGGGGACAAAGTGACCCCGTCTCGCGATATTTTCCAAAATACCAACAAAACGAAAAAGAAAACCTCTGTCTCACATTTATATATTATTATTAATTCATTATTGTCATGGGGATGCGTCCGTGTGAAATATCTTAAATTTATATATATAAAATTTTCGAATCAATCAACACATTATTAATTGATTATGGGGATGCAGTTCTTGACTTGGCGTTCTGTTCATTAATTTTTCAAAGAAACAAAATTTCATTCGTGTATGCTAGAAATTATTCACCTGCGTTTGATTGAAGGTCGCGGAAATATACAACCAAGTATTACAATCCTCATCACTATTTTTAGCTGACTCGACAACTTATGTGCTACTACATTCTCACAACGTCGGATCCAAAAAATCCGTATAGGATGGGTCAATCAAATCAAAGTATGAATTGATTCCATAACCGAGTCCGAGTTGTTTGATCAATAACATTCTCCTGTGCTGCTATAGTGTTTACTGCATCTCCCATGATCAAATAGTCGACTAAGCTACATTCTTGGGCCAGCATTAAGGCTACCTTTAGTGCTAAGGATTTAGCAACTTCCGGATCTTGAACCCCTTTGACTTCCTGGTTTTAGCTTTTACAAAAATCCCATTCGCGTCCTCACACCAAACTCCAATACCAGCGCATCTGTGGAGACGTGAAATGGGCCCATCAAACCAGATTTTTGCGCCAGGAGGAATCTTACCCCAAGCAAGCAATGTGGTTGCAGCATCGACGAAATCCCTTCAGGTCACCCATTTCCATCGAGAAAAGTCCCTCGCATATTTCCAGCCATCAAAACTCTCACTGTGGAGTTCATTGTATCATTTCCATGTATCACCTTATTCCTTCTAAACCAAATACAGTTGAGACTCGAGAATATCCTGTTCTTTGTAAAGCTCCAGCTCCAAACATCAAGCTGATCCTTGTTTCCCAGGGTTAAGTCGATGATAAGTTCAGATTCTGCTGGGTTAAAAATGGACTTTATCAGCTGAGTTTTCCAAATTCCAGTTTCCTCTTCAATCATTTCAGACACACAAGCTGACGGTTCAAGCAGCGAACAAGGACTTTGGATACGAAACCCCGATGCTCCTCCTGTAGCTACCGAGAATTAGTGCTTTCCGGCTTACCACAATGCTACGCCAAGACCCTGAAGGATTTGGTCCCAAGTCAGCATAAAAAAAATCGGTTGTTTGATATTAATCTCCAAGCTTGCTTGCACAACATTGTTAGATTAAAAGCGTATAAGTTCCGAAAGCCTAAACCCCCCTTGCCATTGCTCGGAGCCAGCTTATCCCATGACAATGCATTTTGCGTTTTCCTTCTATTGATCCCCACCAGAAATTTGCCACCATTGATTCTATTTCTTCCAAAATGTAATTTGGAACCCCGAAACGCGACATAGTGTATGACATCAACAAAATTCAGATTTTGAAAGGTCAAGCAGGATAAAGGGGACTTTTGATGTGTAGGTCAGGCCTTCATAATCATGACCGCCACATCGGGTTCGAATTTGGACTCCATGTTTCTTCCGACATTTCACTGTGGCCTGAACTTGGTCATATGTTGAAGGTCTTACTATAGCTACTGGTTTTGGGGTTGTTGAGGTGAGAAATCTCCTGTTTTGAACCGTCGAATCCAACAAAGACGAATAGGAGGAATCCGAGGTTGAGGGAACAATAAGATGTTGAAGCCTTGAGGGTCATGTGGCAAGAATTGTGAATTCCACATCGGAGGCATGATGACATGTGAATCAGTTAATAAGTAAGGTGGATTCAGAACCTATTAGTTTGACCTTTTAAGTTCAGACGGGTCTTATCTTACTTATTGGGTTCGATGTCGTGTTTTCTCCTCCAGATAAATCCCCAACAGTGGTATCAGAGCCCAGGTTGGGCCAAGTGGGTGAGTGATTTAGCCCAAAATTATCTCGGTTGATCTGACTGAACCCAGGCAGTCAAAGGTCCACAACGAGCGAAAACGTAGGGATGAGCGGCTCAGTTACTCAGGTGGAGTAGAGATTTGGGCTTGTCAAGATAATTTGGAAGTCCGATGTGGAGATTGCCCATGACGAGGAGAATATTGAAGGTCATGTGGTAAGAATTGTGAATCCCACATCGGAGGCATAATGACATGTGAATCAATTAATAAGTAAGGTGGACTCAGAACCCATTAGCTTAAGCTTTTGAATTCATATGGGTTTTATCTTACTTATTGGGCTTCACGTCGGGTTCTCTCCTCCAGATAAATCCCCAGCATAAGAACATCCAAATTCATGAATTCATGGGAAAGGCATTGAAGTATGCATACGTAATGGAAGTGTTAACAATTTAAATGAATTAATCTAGATGGACAACTATTTTAAATTCGTTGTATTACTGTGATGAATTAACAACTACTCTCTTTATCACCGAAAATAAAAATAAAAAATGAGCTTCTTTAATGTGTCAAAATAATACTCTCTTCATCTCAAATGATTGTTTCGAAACCATACCAAATACTAGTATGATTTTTTTTTCCCTTTTT